GTTGGTGTGTCAGCTCAGGTCCTCCCTCTTTAAAGATTTCAGCAGGGATCCCGTCTGGTCCACTGGCTTTGTAATTTTTCTGTTGGCTGATGGCATTGCTGACTTCTTCCAAACTGGGCAGTGCTGCAAGCTCATCCCTGGTTTGTTGTTGTGGGATTTGTGAGAGGACCTCTTCGGCCACATTGGAGCTGCGGTTCAGGAGGCTTTGGTAGTGTTCTTTCCAACGTAGTGCAATTGAGTTTTGGTCCTTCAGGAGTTTGGATCCATCTGATGAGCGTAGAGGCTGTATGCCATGGTTTCTTGGTCCGTAGATGACCTTTGTGGCCTTGAAAAATCCCTGAGCATTATGGGTATCTGCCAGGTGTTGGATTTCTTCGGCCTTCTTTGTCCACCAGATGTTCTTGAGTTCTCTTGGACCTTTGGACCTCAGCTTTTGCACTGGCATAGATCTTTTTCTTAGCTGCACAGTTGATGTCTCTCTGCCATGCTTGGAAGGCTTTCCTTTTCTTGTCAATTAGCTGTTGGATCTCGATGTCATTTTCATCAAACCAGTCTTGATGTTTCTTGGCTTGGTATCCAATAGTTTCTTCGCAGGCTTGGATGATGGAGGTCTTCAGTTTGTTCCAATGTTCCTCAACATTTTCGGGGTGTACTGTGGGTAGATGGTCCTTGAGTGCTGTTTGGAGATGGGCTTGTCTGGAGGGCTTCTGAAGGGCTTGGGTGTTCATTTTGCGCCTTGTCTTCCTTCCTTGGAGTCTGCGCTTGGGAAGGATCTTGATAGCCATCGAGGATCGAATTAGCCTGTGGTCAGTCCAGCAGTCGTCAGCACCTGTCATGGCTCTTGTGAGGAGCACGTCACGGCGGTCTCTGGCACGTGTGATTACATAGTCTAAGAGGTGCCAATGCTTTGACCGGGGGTGCTTCCATGATGTCTTGAACTTGTTTTTCTGGCGGAAGAGCGTGTTGGTGATGACAAGGTTGTGCTCCGCACATTTGGTGAGAAGCAGGATGCCATTTGAGTTGCTGTTTCCAACCCCGTCTTTTCCTATGGTCCCTGGCCACAGGTCGAAGTCTCGGCCGACTCTTGCCGTGAAGTCCCCCAGGAGGATGATTTTGTCCTCCTTAGGTATCCCCGATAGGACGGTGTCCAGCTGACAGTAGNGTGATGACAAGGTTGTGCTCCGCACATTTGGTGAGAAGCAGGATGCCATTTGAGTTGCTGTTTCCAACCCCAGTTAAAATATAGAGTTTGGGATATATTCGCCGTATAAGACGACCCCTCTTCCAACACACACCAAATAATTTTTTAAAGCATCAGATTTGATTTCAATATGTTCATTTTCCTATTCCTGTCCCTCCTTCTCTGCCTCTCAGATCCTGCACCTGCGCACCTGCACTGCTTCATGGCAGTCTTCCGGAGCGAGATCTGAGAGGCAGAGAAGGAGGGACGGTGATAGGATACAAGGGCGGGCCAGACAGGTAAAAGAGGTGTGTTTTTCTGGGCCCAAAACCACCCTATCTCTTTTTTCCATACCCCGGGCACCCCGGACGCCTGCAGCTTGCTCCGCCCTTTACCTCACCATCGGGACCGCATTAAGTCCACGAATCCTGAGGAATGGATTTCCTTCTACCGTACTTGTACAGCGTCACCCTTAATGCTTTCATACGGTCGCTGCATACGGCAGGGACGCGGCCGCGGCCATTTTTGAGCTCCCCGCACCATATGCAGCAACCACAGAGTCTCCAATCTGGATTGGAAGTTTCAGCACCCGCTCTATAAGACGACTCCCAGCATATAAGACGACTTCCGCATATAAGATGTATCTCATGCATAAGGCTACTCCAGCGTATAAGACAACTCCCGTGTATAAGACGACCCCTGACTTTTGAGAAGATTTTCTTGGGTTAAAAAGTATACACCAGAATATACGGTAGTTCTGGAGGGAAGGGACTCCTCAGCCGAGTAGAAAATATTGAGTTAGCCATTCTGTTCTTCCTGGAGCCTACTATCTATATTTTGATTGGATTATCCCATTTCTTGATGATTTTAGGTGGGATACTAAATGGAAGGGTTTGAAATGCGTATAAAAATTAGGTAATAGCATCATTTTACATTTATTATTTATTTATTTACGATGTTTGCATCCTGCCTTTCTCAAGCCCAAAGTCGACTCAAGGAGGCTTGCAAACTGGCAGCCTTTCGATGCCGTAACAATTCACAAGATACAATAAAAAACCATTTGAAACAACATTATAAAATCCATACAAAAACTATTAAAAACATACGGTATCCAATGTCTTTCTGTCAATCACATGTTCCAGTAGCATCGTATAAGCCAGTGTTTCTCAACCTGGGGGTCGGAACCCCTGGAGGGGTCGCGAAGGGGTCTCAGAGGGGTTGCCAAAGACCATCAGAAAAGACAATATTTTCTGTTGGTCATGGGGGTTCTGTGAGGGAAGTTTGGCCCAATTCTATCATTGGTGGGGTTCAGAATGCTTTTTGATTGT